TGAAACTACAAACATAGAGCAATTTTGGTTGTCGCTCTGTGGACATACATACCTACAAACATACATACAGGCGTTTTAACTTGATAAGACGCTTTCCTTTACAGTCAAGGGAATAGAAGTTCTCACTTGGCGCCAATGTGGCCCATTCCGGCGCATTCTATAAGTCTCTTAAAAAAGAGAATGGAAAAAACTGTAAAAAATGGTATGGAATTGTATGGTATGGAATGGTATGGAGTGGTATGGAATGGTATGGAATGGGACGGAATGGGCCATTCCGTCCCATTCCGCTTTTTCCCCCTTGCTTCCTCCGCAAAAATTTCTTCATATATTAATCCATAGAAAGCTATGGTTCTAACCGTGACTCCTGTAGTAGCTACTAATTAAATCGTTAGAAGATACTGAAAATTGTTTTTTTACATGCCACAAAGATTTAACCTTGAAAACAGAACTTGCTTTTTCTCCTGAATGCCACGCGCAGTTACAGACTTTTTCTGAACTGAAACTCTAAAAACTGTCTAGTATTCGATCCTGAAAAGATAAGTGAAAATTTTGTTTTTGTAGGATATCATCCACTTAGTTATATATCCCCAGATGAACCCATGCCATCGTCATTTATAAATAATAAAAATGTTATTGTTGATCATGATTATTGTCAACTTCCAGGCCTAGATATTGCAAAACGTGACGAAGGACAGCAGCAGCTGTCTTGTTTCGTTAGGCCGTTGCCAGAACCTGGTACTTCTTCTGCTACGTATACCACATCGACAGGTCAAGCGACAAACACCTGTAAAGTCAACAGTACAAAAAATAATGAGCTCTATATCTTTCTTTTCAAGTTCTAAGACACTTGATATTCCTGATAGTTCGGTTGCTCTAGAAGCGTTGCGTGAAAGCAACACTAACATTGTGAAAACAGTCGTGGAAGTGCCTAAGCCGCTTTCGGCTAACATAGAATCGGGTACATTAGAACAAGGAATACCACAAAATATTGCTGATATCTCATTCACATCAATTCATTCACGTTCATCTGCGGCAGCTACAGAACTAATATTTGAATCCAATGACACTATTAGTTCGTTTAAAACACCGAACACAGTGGTATTAGAATCAAGCGAAGATATACAGTATTCAAGTACTCCGAGACCGCTACGTAAAAGGGTAAATACTAACTAATTCATTTTTTATCTTCTCTATTTTCGCGTTTTCTTTTTAATTGAGAGTGAAAATGCGACTGCTTCGAAAAAACTACATAACAATTCACACATTCAATACAAGTGATTCGACTGGTTTAATCATCTACGAGACAGCGTTCGACGAATTATGCTACTGGATAATTGGGATTTTGAATACCGGTGAAATTATTTCGATATCGGCAGTGCAAGAAAAATATATACTTATTTTAAATTCTCGAAAAAATATAATAACAGAATCGATCGTACGGCCACTATATATTCGTAAACGTCTCGAAAATCGTTTTGGTAATCTACTTTTCGAATCACCGTCGGATAAAATTGGAACCTCCGTTTCATATAAGAACGTATCAGCTTATATCCAACTATCGATGTCGAAAGAGCCGTATTGTATGGAAAAAATGGAAACTGTTAGCGATAAGAAAGACTGCGAATGTTTGTTCGATGCCATTCGTATGATGCGTAATAGTATTAGCATTGGTCATCAAACACTATAAACATTCAGTGACAAAGCGGAAAAATTAACATCCTTTACACCTGACGATTTCTGGTCATGTGCTCCATTACTGCTAAGAAATCTTACTAGTTTACTTACATTAAGTGATGCCGATTATCGAAAGTTACAACGAAATTACAATTATTACGATTTATTTTTATCAGATTTATTCTAAAAATCCTCCAAGTGGCTAAAGATATGCTCAATAACATATGCCATTTTAAATTGCAAAAATGATGCATTTTTATCACCGAAACATTATATGTTAGCCAATGAACTAATGCAACATGAACGATCGGCCGATCTTGTATCAATTTTCAATCGTTATGGACATACGTGTTCATATCAGACTATTAGAAAATTGCACGAAGATGCGGCCAAGAAACAGGGCGATGGATATCAGCTCTCGAACACCGTTTTATCCAATTGTTTTGCCGTAAAATGTGCAGACAACTTCGATATTAACCGTGATACAGTTCATGGTACTGGTAGCTTCCATATCATAAATCAGATAATCATTCAAAATCCTCAAAATATCATACAAAGTAATATTTCGACTATTACAACGGATGATAATTCGAACGAATGTTGTACAATGGATGTAAGAGATACAAGTCAATCGTTTTTAAATGGTAATAGAGTAAAAAAGTCTTTTTACTTAATGTTTTAGTGTTAGTGGCTATAGGACAGGACTTGTTGGAAGATAGATCGCTAGTTACTTATAGATCCAACAGACTCATGAGCCATACCCCTTCTAAAACACGTCCTTTCTGAATAATTTCCATTCTTCTTCTTTTTCCGTTGCAGTATCTATGGCAAGTGCAACAACTGAAAAGAGTAATCATCACGCTGGACCAATAACTACTATGTCGATCAGGCATCATAATACATCTGGTAGTAACCTGTCACTGCATCCGTCAGACTCAAACGTAAATACACTAGCGATAACAACAACATCAATTATTGGTAGTAGATTATATATTCCATTCGAAAACAATTCTCTCGATATACCATTATGAGCGTATGGGTTAATAAAATATTCTTGTTCGTCCGTAAATCGTGATATGGCATTATTAACTGGTTTTTTTAGCACTCATTATTACACTCAGTCAAGACCAGCTCATATTATCTCATTCTGTTCACTAATTAATGAAGAGCGAAGAGCACAATCAAAGTACCGCTGCATCCGAAAGAGTGCACCGGCTATAAATCAACTTCCACTGAACCGATTTTGATAATTTTTTTTTGTAGAAAGAACTGGTCAAGAGCTTTTAGAATATAGATTTATTTTAGTTTCAGACTAAGTTGTTA